TCAAGTTTGTTCATCTTCAATATTACTAGCCTCAGTACATTACTCTATGCCAATCTTTTCAATATATAATTCTACTAATATGGAAAAATATGTCACAAGTTAAAGTCCTATCTTTTAAAAAGCAAAGCAAGATATTTGTGACAACCAGTATTTTGATATTGGCAGTAATTCATATGTCTGTACAGGTTCCTGTCAGAATTAACAGCTGGTAGCATAAATCTAGGCTGGTGTATGAATTATTGGGATGGGAAGTTGAATTAGAAAGCCAAGTTCAAATTTTGTCTATGGTTGTGATGAGTAGATGGGTATTTGGTTGACAATCAGTCTAGGAGGACAACTTTGAATTCTGTAAGCGATCTGGGATTGCAAAGGAAATATTTGTCGCAGATTACTTCCACAACACAAAGAAAAATCCCTGTAAGTACAGACTCGAATATTAGGGGCAGAAAGAAATGCTGAAAACTCGATTCGCCGGTACTATCTCACAAATCACAATGCACACAACCAGTCAGAAAAATAACTCACTCACCGACAAACGAGGTAGCCAAAATACCTGAATTTTTCCTCCCCATTTCAAAAACACCAACTGCTTTTATCGGCCGAGCATTTTTTCATTGGTTAATAACAGAGAGAGGATGCCCAATTTTTGCATATCAAAATACTTTTACAGAGACTCCTGTGACAGACTTGCTTTTTAAATTAAATATTCCATCTTCAGCATGTCATGCGGAATACATGCCCTTTTTTTTGTAAGTAATTTTCTTTTTCACCTCATTTTCTGTCATAGGATACACGCGACACGCTGTTGCTTGGTTTGAAGAGGTAAGTCGCCATTTTCTTCACTATAAATTCAAAACTGGAGCAAGCCATTCCACTCTGTCAAAAGCTATATGATAAGAAAACCATAGCAGCAAAAATTTAACATAGTATATACTCCACAGGCAAGTCTTCAGAGAAACATACACATACTTAACATTAACTTAAAAGATTGATTTAATGTAACCTCATAAACAATTGCTTACCTTGATCAACTGGTTCTTATTCATGTTGCCCATTATGTTCTCAATAGTAGACTTCAATGAGCCTTTAATATTTTTAGTAAACTGGGTGGCCTCCTCTCAAATTTTGGAGCCCAAGTGATTCAAATTAAGAGAGTTAGGAAACCCTATGTTGAGAGTAATATAATTTTGAAAATACATGGAAGGTTACTTTGGGATTACAAGGACCAGAAGAAGTAGATTTCGTTAGATATATATATATATATATATATATATATACAGCCACACTCTTAATCCAGAAGATGACCATTGTGTCCAGCACGTCAGTGTAAGCGGTAACATTGACCTTGTTAGCCTGTGAGATAAAGTGGAGTGGCATGACATGGTCCTCATTGCTCATCGCCCCACAACCATCACAGCTGATGTGAACTTGGCATGAATCACTATGGATACTTCAGTGGGGTCTGCATGGAATCACCTTTCATTTCTGCTGCTCACCTTTCAAGAAGCTGGCTATATTCAAATTGCTGTGATTGGTGACTGGTATCATGAGCATCACGTACTTTTCATTTCCTGTGTCAGATTGGAAACTGCCATGTTAATATTCTGAATATGTCTCAAAGAGAAATGAGAATGCAACAATTTGGTGCATGCTGCATGATATTACATTGGATCAACTTGCATTTCTGACCTGTTAACGATGCCTTTTCAAATGCCTGGTGCACTCTTTATGCAGACTTTAGGCAGATTTTCTCAACTACTTTTACTCTCATAGAAGCTGAAAAAACATTACTGATGAGAAAGGACAATAAAAAGAGAAGCCTTTAATGAAGTGGATGATGACTATTATCATTGCATTTAAATTTTTGAAGATCATAGTTGTCAGGAAAGCAAGAAGCTAGAAGACAGTTCCACAGGCAAGAAGTACGAGAGAAGAAACCATGAGAATAGAAATATAACCCAGGGTTTTCAGTTCACTCCACTCAGCTGAGCCTCTTTTTAAGGGTGGGCTGACCTGGATTTTGTGGGGTCTCCTCCACTCAACTGACCTTCTTTTTCATGACAATTATTGTCAAAATGATTTCTGTAACATCCTGTAGATTCCTCTTTAACAAGATGTTAGCCTATTTTATCATGGTGAATTAAAATGGTTTATAGCTAATATCCATTCAGAATGATGGACATGCTGGTCAGTTGTATGACCTTAACCAGTTCAGCATTTTCTATGCACTTGGCATCTATTCATGAGTGGAAGTAGTGTAGGAACATGACGGCCATGTTTTGTTTTTAGGTTGAAATATGAGGTCGCCAAGTTACTTGGGATTCACATCATGATAGTGGGAACATCCTGAATCGGAGACCATCTGAATGGTCTAGATTACTCAACCAGATGGGATTTCTAACTGAAACTCACAAGATTATGTACTCATTTTATCAAAGCATGTCAGCATATGCACGTTTGACTGTAGTGCATGTTCATGATATATCTTCATCGAACTTAGTGTCAAGATGGTTTTATTGGACTTAGTATGTTTGTATGTAATCATCAGTTTCTTGATGTCCTACTCTCTTACTCAATAATAATAATGATGAGATTACCCAACGTAATCATGACCATCACAGTGACAACTACAATGGAATAATTGGGTGGTACGATTGTTACTACTGCTGAAAATGAAATTGTTGAACTATTTTCAAAACCTAGCTGAGGCTTTTCGATTTTATATCACTGTGCCAATATTTTGCCACAATGCTTTGTCTCTCAATAATGATGCTGATAAATGGTTGAGGAAGTAGCAGTTTATGGCATGTCATAACATGAAGTTTAATAATTAAAAACAAATTTTTTTGTTTTGTAACAAAAAATGTTGCCTCAGTCAGTTATGTGTCGTGCAATCATGTAAAGTAAGCAATTGTGAAAACAAAAACATATATTTTGTAGCAAATGAATATAAAATGGGATTTATGAAATTACAACAAATTTTTAATTGACCCTCCATTTTGCTGCATAACCAAAATTGCAAATGTGATCAAATTAGTGACAGAATATTCATAACTTGAGGTATGTGCTCAGCTTCTAAGCAACGTCTCCCACTTGAAAGAAAATCATGCAATATCTTTGTGGTTTAAAACTTTTTTTTCAGACAATTAATTTTTGATAGAGCAAAAAGATTCTGTTTTAAATTGTTTCTTGTTTTATAAGCTCTCATCATTGCTACTTCTCACTCATGATTCATGACCTTGGTTATCCAACAACATAGTGAAACAATTGAAAATTTGTTGTAATTTCATAAACCCTATTTCTTAGAGTCTGTCTATATTCCTGAGATGAGGTATTATGTACATTATTTACATTATTCGGACTATTGTCCTCATCTTTGTCGCCATATTTATCACAATGTTTTGGCTGTTGTATGCTCCGGCCTTCTTCAGGTGGTTGGTATTTCGAACTGAACCCTTTATTTTGCTCACTGGGGTAGACTGTTCTAGTTCCACATGCCATGTTTGATGGATGTCAGTTATCAGTTATCTCCTGCTAATTTCCCTCAGAAAGTTCTCCACTGCCTTAACTGGGTATTGAACTCACACTTCAGTTCGAAATTCCAACCACCTGAAGAAGGCCGGAGCGTGCAACGGCCGAAACGTTGTGATAAATATGGTGACAAAGATGAGGACAATAGTCCGAATAATGTAAATAATGTACCCTATTTCTTTTTTATTTTTTTTCAAAATATATGTTGTTCTTTCACAATTGCTTATTTGTATTATAATGGCTTTAAAACTTCATTTATTTTCACCCTCTCTATTATTATACAAGTACTAAGGAAATTATAAGGAGAAAATACACTTGATAACTTCCCAAAAATATCTTGGCTGAAACATTGTCTTAAAAATAACAGAAATGAAGAGGATGGTAAACACATACAAGATAAGAAAATTAATGCAAATACTTTATTTCATACATAAAAAAAAACTGCCTGTATTTTTGCATGCTAAAAAAGATGAAAATCAATTGTAAGAAGACAGAATATATGGTTGTCAGCAAGAGTAGCAGCTCAAGATATGAACTACAAAATGTCAAATTCAAGCAAGTACAGGTACTTAACTATGTGGAAAGTATTTTAACAGACAGTAGAAAAATATAATATTGAAATATGAAGATGTATTAGAATAGCCAAAGACACCTTTCAAAAGCTAAACAAAGCATAAAAAAATTGTAAAATTTCATTAGAAAAAAAGTGCTATTATGTAATACCAATCCCATGTATACAACAGTGAATACTGGGCAATATCCTCACAGATGAAGAGGAGACTTGAAGCAACAGAGATGAGGTTCTGAAGAATGATTTTGAATATACCAACAGCCTAACAAGCACATATAAGTAGCTTGGTTTGGTTTGTTTTGTTTTACAGCATATCATTCTCAATGGGTCTTTTAATGTCGACAACTTTTTCTTTTTTTTTTGTAATATTTTTTTTTGTCAAAAATCTATTTCTGTTAATATTTTTTTCCTCAAAAATGTATAATTGGTAATATTATTTTTTCAAAAATGTATAGCTGGTAATATTATTTTTTCAAAAATGTATTGCTGGTCATATTTTTTTTTCCTCAAAAATTTATTTCTGATAATACATTTTTACAAAGTATCTCTTGTATTAAAACCTATTTTTACACTTTTATAATGCCTTTTACCTCAGTTTCTGGGTTAACTATTTGCCCATAGCTGGCACCCTAACAGGTGCTACCACCTTGGGTCAGGGTGGACTAGGGAACACCAGCAATTAAGAGGAGGTTCCACACTCCTCAAAGCCTCCTGATCAGAGGCCTTGCTGTTGGATGTAGTTTATCGTCTTACCCTGGACGTGGATATAGTTTATCGTCATATCCAGGATGCCACATATAAATAGATTGATGAGCTGGAAGTGGGAGAAATAGTAAAGAGGCAAACATTGCATAAAGCTAAAAAGGAAAGGAAGTTGTGGAGAGCCAGGATCACTCACATCCAGAAAATACATGTATAGAAGAAGAAGAAGAAGAAGAAGAAGAAGAAGAAGAAGAAGAAGAAAGACAAGCTACAATATACACTGCGTGCCAAATTATTTTCGAGATATTATAAAAAAAGTTATCTCGATAATAATTTGGCATGCAATGTACACTAGAGAAATTCTGAAGAAAGTCATGGCTTAAACATTGTCTTAAGAATAACCTATCATGATGGGTGAGTCTTCTATCAAGAAGGCTCCTAGCTTTGAATGTCTATTGTGACTCAAGTTCTCTCCAGACCTTGTTGAACTCATATATCTGATCTAATCCTGAAGATGCTGGAAAAATGGTCAGTTTATACGTACCAATCCAGTAAGTATCTGACTTTTTCTGCTATACTGCACCTTTACAAGAGCCAGATCAGACCAAAAATGGATTATTGCTGTCATATCTGTGCTGGAACTACTCTGTCTTCACTTGCCTGTCTTGACACAGTTAAAAAAATGTCTACAAACATTTCTGGGTGATGAATTATTTCCTCTCCCAACAATGCCTCTCTCACAAATGAAATATTGTAAAGCTCTCATTGGCTCTATCCTTATTTCCATTGCATCTGTTCTGACAAGCTACATTACTTAGTCCAAACAGCCCAGCTTTTACAATTGGGACTCACTATAATCTTGACCTCTTCATCTAGGGTTAACTGTTATCTTTCTTGCATAAACCCATAAATTGCACTCCTTGACTTTTCTTATGCTCATACAACACCATACAGTAACCATCTACCTTGAGTGGCTCTTGGGCCTTGTATTGGATGAATATTTGTATAAAAACAAAAGAGGAAGATAATGTTACCCACTTCCAGAACAAGAAAAATAATGCAAATTCTTTATCTCAAACCTTCAGGAAATAAGTAAAAGTAGTTTTGCATACTGACTTTCGCTGGACAAGAACATTAACAAAAAAGAAAAAAACTGAGTGGAAGGAGACAAAAACAAAGGAGAGAAAAGAAGAAAAGAACAGAGGGGGAGAAAAAGAGATTGAAGTGTTTCTGATGATAAAATCAGTGTGGAGTGTCGTTGTTTCTAATGTAAATCCACACCTAGAAAAATTAGCATGGCGACGTTGTCAAAAAGTTGCATGGAGATGATATAACTAATAAAACTATAAAAAAGTAAAATGAAAAGAAAATACCTACATTAACAAGTCAGAAATAAATAAGAAAAATTCAAAGTGACTTTCTTTGCCAGCATTAGCTAATTAAGAGCTCCTGAAACATATGGTTTGTTGACACTAAAAGTTCCGTGGAAATTAAGCAAGAATTTCTATCATACAAAAACCATGTGTCAATTAGGCATACATGCTTTTTGCATACAAAGAACTGTTTATTTAAAGGGCTTCATATTTATTTATATTTATCATGTTTTCAGATGGCTGGCAAGAGCAGTTTCATCTGTTTATTTATACAAGATGATAGTTTTTATGAATTACAGCTTTCTACTGTAATGAATCTATGTGCATCACAATTTTTACCATAATGCTTCTCCTATCTTCAAAAGCATTATTTGAACTAATAATCAGTTCCAAGGCTAGTATGCATGTTTGATAGACTGAATTTTGATCCACATGCTTTTCTTTTTAAAGGTTCTTGAATCAAATAAAACTTAGGAATACTAAATCTTTTTATTTAATGGATTCTATATTTGTGAGTCACTTAATTGAAAACTCTCTGTTGTTTTGTCATGTGTTTCTCTGGAAGCTGATGTCATGTTACTCAATTTGTTTATGTTGTTTGATGCTCTCTGAGCTTATATATATATATATATATATATATATATATATATATATATATATATATATATATATATGGGGAAATTGTATGACAAAGTGGAAAAAAGTTTACATGTGACTTATTTCATCCTTCAGGGCTTCATCGAAATGCATCACAAGCAAACATTTTCCCACTTTGTCATACAATTTCCCCAATACTGTTCTTGATGATATACATTGTTATCTCATATATATTGTGGGGAAAATAGAAATGGCTTACCTCCCCACCACTGGACGACGAGAGCGAATCGGAATCGGAGACCAGTGAGGCATCGCTCTGGTTTATGCCAGCTCCATCAGGCAGTGACTCAGATATCAGTAGCCTTCCAAGGGACGCGGTGTTTTTCGACCCTCAGACTGTGGACGGGAGCACAAGTGACAATGAGGCTCGCAACATCCCTCTTCAAAGAAGCACCCGGCGAAAGCAATCGCCGCCTCCCTGCCAACACTGTGATCATGAGATCAGGTGGGAGTGTGGGGAAAATAGAAATGGTTTACCTCCCAAACGCCCTCGCGTCTGTCTGGCCTGTGGGTTGAGAAAAGAAAAGAAAGGGTCCAAGATGGCGTCCGTGACTTTTTAATATTCACGGTCTTGTGCAGTCTTGCAAGGTCGCGTTGCACGCATGCTAATGAGGTGTGTCTGGGCTCCATAAAAGCAGGTCGCTTGTAGAAATTGGCAAAAGCCATTACACCCATGTTTGGTATACATTGCTTTGTGTTGTGTCATGTCAGACATTTTCCTACGGAAAGAGTTGCATCCCTTACACTCCATATTGAATTTGACTCCTTTGCTAAAATATATATATATATATATATATATGTGAGATAACAATGTATATATATATATATATATATATATATATATATATATATATATATATATATATATATGCTCTTTTAAGTATGAATTGAGCTCTTCTGGCTACAAGCATGTTTCGTATAGAAAACATTAAAATTTCTCTTTCTCTCTGACATGCACTGATAGCTTAGTGGGCTGGATCTCTGACTGATGCCAAATTGGTTGAGTTTCGATCCTGGCTTGAACCAATCGGAGGTTTAGCCACACTGCTGAAGCGCTGTGATACAGCAAAATAGTCTGTCTGTGGATGACTATATATATATATATATATATATATATATATATATATATATATATATGTATATGTATATGTATATATATATATGTATAATTTATCGTTTTATTATTGCTTATTCTCTTCCTCTGCTTCTTTTCACTGTTTTCTCTTACTTTTTCTCCTTTCTTTTTTCTTTCTTTTATTTTTACTTCTTTTTTTCTTTCCTCATTCCTTCCACTTTTACATCCTTTATTTCTTAACTTTCATTCTCACTGCTTTTTATTCCATTCTCTTTTTCCACTTTTAATTTTTCTTTTCTATTATTCTTCTTTTTCCTTTCTGTCTTTCTTTCTTCCTTTCTTTGTTCTTTTCTAATTAGTTTTAAATATTCTCTTTTTACACCATTCCTTCTCCACTGCTATTTCTTTCTCTCTGCATACCATTCAGTTATTTTGTTTGTTTCCTGTCTATCCATTTTCTTTCTTTCTCTTAATCATTTTTCTTCTTTTCCTTTAACTTTCTTTTTATTCTATCTTATTTTTTCATTTTATTTCATTCCAATTTTTCCCTACTTCTTGTTGCTTTGACTTTCTTTTTCTTTTATGCTTTTTCATTTTTTTTTAATTCAATATTCTTTCTTTAATTTTCAGCTTTCTTTTCTGCTTTTATCATATTTTTTTTCCTTTTTTCAGCCTATTTTCTCTGTTCGTTCCTTTTTCTACTTCTTCCTTCTATTGGTTTTTCATTAATGTTCTTTTAGTTATTTTTCCTTCTCTTTTTTTATTTGAATCTTCTTCATGTTTTATGTTTTCATGTTTTATACTTCCCTGGCAAATATGTCTTCTTCTTCTTCTTCTTCTTCTTCTTATTATTATTATTATTATTATTATTATTAATATTATTCTCCTTCTCCACTTCTTTCTTCTTCTTACACTCCCTTTTGTTACTCTTTCTTACTTCTTTTGTTTCTCATTTTGCTCTTTCTGTCTCTTTTACTCTCATCATTTCTTCCTCAATTTTTCTTCTTTTTTGTTCCCTTTTTTCTCTTCACTATTCTTCTTTTTCTTCTCTTTCTTTTTCTTTAATTTTGTTTCACTTTCTTCTTCTTGCTTGCCTCCCTTTCTTTTATGACTTCTTTTTGCTCCCCTGTCTTCTTTTTTCTCTTTCTTCTTCAAATTTTTCTTCTTTGCTTGACATCCTTTTTCACTTCTTCTTTTTATTGTTTGCTTTCCTTTCTTTTATTTGTTCTTCTTGTTTGCCTTTCTTCTTTTTTGTCCCCTTTCTTCTTCAAATTCTTCTTCTTTGATTTCCTTTCTTTTTCTTTGCCATCTTTTTATTGTTTCACCTTCTTCCTCTTCTTCTTCTATCGGTGCTATCAGAACTTATTAACCGAACAAATGGCCCAAATCCATTATTTGGATCTCATAATTTCCAAGCATATACCCTCCACACACATCTCTGTCTCATAAAACTCTAGAAATCAGAATTATAATGATTCTGATGATCATAGCCACTGTATGCTTCAGTGACGCCCTGAATAAGAAATAGGTCCAAGTATGTCTCTTCTATCTTTCACATAGCTAAAATGGTCATGTGACAATAGGCCCACTGAATATTTTATTGATGAGATCTCATGAACCGGATGATTGGCTAGAAATCCCAAATGATAGGCATATTGGAGATGAATAACCAATTCAATAACCTATTGGGAAGAAGGAAGAGGTTGGACACGAAAGTAATTGAAAGTAAGGATAGGACAATGCATAACATTATATATTCTTCATGACATAAGGTTAGTGAGGCCTGTTATCACAAACTCCCAATTTTGTGGTAAATTGAACAACATAAGCAAAGGTAAATTGACAAATCATGAGCAACTCTATTGTTTTCAAAGTTTATAAAATCAGGTTCAAGAAACTACTGATATAAATTTTCCAAACTATTTTATTTAAAGCTTGTATTCCAATTTCATAGTTTTATTATTTAGAAGTATTTATATGTGATCTGGTCATATCCAAAATTGTTTTAATCATTTCGCCCCACCAAAGGCAATAGAGTCTCTAAGATACAAGGAGTTACTGAGAGTCTAAAAAAATAAGGAAATGTTATTGATGAAAAAGGAAAATAAAAGGACAGGCGTCAAGGAGACAGAAGATTACAATTGATGTTGCATTTAAATTTTTGAAGATTGTGGTTGATGAGAAAGCAAGAAACCAAAACAGAGTTCCACAAGAGAGGTGTGTAAAAGAAGAAACTATCAGCATAGGACGTACATTTTACAATTTCAGCTGGGAAATTATGTGATCTGGCTTCCAGTCTACTATTAGTAAAGTCAAGATACTAAAGAGGAAAACTTGTCAGAAGAATTGACACAATAAAGAAATACAGGAGAAGGAACTATTAGCATTGGAACCTATGGTTGCTTCTAGCCATTTCAGCAGTGAAATTACAAGTCCAAGCTGTTATCCCATAAAATTATTTAATTTGCAAAATCATCGTACCAAAGACAAAAGCTCACCAGAATAATTACCATACAAACATGTATAGAAAAAGCATAAGTAATCTTTGTCATGATGGTGGGAAAGTGATTGAAATCGAGATGCCCAATAATATTGCAGAAAATTGGAATTTTGCTCTTTAATGCATAGACAAATAGTAGATTTTTAAAGTTTAAAAGAAAGATTCTGGTAAGAATCATTGTCTAGCATGATACAGTGAAATAAGTTTTCTTGTAGCAGACTTAGCAATTGACTTCATATAATCATTCTAATATCAGTGGAAAATTTTAGACTCATAAGGTACAATATGGTGTTCTCTTGTAGGTTATCATCAGACATGCTGATGGAAAGCTAAAATAATTTTCTAAGACGGTTTAAGAGAGTAGTTTAATTCTGCAGGAGTTAAAATTAACACACCTTAGTTAACATATAAGAAATTACCTTTGAATCCTACCAAATACAGGCAATTTTTCCTCAAAGTTTTTATTAAGAAAAGGCTATTAAAGGCTGATCACTTGAGTCATGTTTTTTTATTTTATTTTCAGTTTTTATAATTAACCTCTTTTTCATTGTCAAAGTATATCTTATACAAAAGTATTTATTTTGCATTGAGCAAGAAGAGAATTATTTTTTAAATATTGATTGATGTTTACTTTTGTAAATTCATATCAAACATATTTCCCTGATATTTCCTATATAAAACAATATAATTATCTCATCTTAAAAAATATAAAACATTTTGAAATTAAGCATGACTAAACATTTGCCAATTCCCAGTCTTGTTCAGATTTTGTCAAACTCAGTTGAAATCATCTTGATTCATTAACCCTTAAACCAAGAGTATCATTAATTGATGTTTCATTGGAGATTGACAGATAACATCAGATGATTATATAAATCTTTTCCAGTGATATGGATATCGTTCATTCATGATTTGACTAATTGGCAACTCTAGGATTCAGGAAGTTACATCATTTCCTGGAGTATTTCCCTGTAAATAAAGCTGAAAGAATGCATCAAAAGCAACATTATGTCTGAATGCATACTTCTTTAAAAAAAATACATAACCAATGGTAACAACTTGGTGCAAAGAATGCATAACTTCATTGTTCATCAGATGCTTCATAGAATATCATATTGTTAAAATATACTGGATTTAGAAACCTAACATTTGTTTTATTTCCTTTTGTCTTTATTTTTATCTATCTATCTATCTATAAATATATATATATATATATGTATGTATGTATATATAAAATTCTGTGATTACCAACAGTCCATCTGCCCATGCATCTGTCCATCCATCACACCCTCTAAAATAGCCATATATTAACTAATCAAAACAAATTTTTGGGAGAAATGCAAGCAGGTAAGGAGGTACAAAGTACAGTCGGTTTTAATTGGGTGCATAGCTTAGTACAATAAATTTTCATTCATTTTTGGTGAAAAATTAAAAGCTTTGTCATTTAACATACAAAATACTCTCACTATTTTAAAAATAATTTAATGGTTAAAATAACAAATATTTATCTAATAAAAATGCAATATTCCTTTTTGCATATCATTTTTTTATATCCAAGAATCCAGTTTCTAGTTCACCCTGCATTTGTGAGAACTATAAACAAATCCCAAGGCCAAATATTTCAAAAAGTTGGAATTTGCCTCCAGAAAGAAATATTTATGCATGGTCAGTTGTACATTGCACACTCAAGAGTAAGAAATCCTAAGAATTTATGCTTTGCTGTTAAAAAGGAAAAAAATAAATTTTCTTAAAAATATTGTTTAACATGAAGTCCTATAAAATTAAATTAAAGCAATTATTAAACCGCAAAGTAAGGTTTTTGTAAAATTATTTTTCTAAACACCTCAGCTTATTCAAGTTTCGATTGATTTTCGAAATTGGATGAAATGTTGTGTTTGTAAATCTCAACAAAAATTTTAGTGATAACTTCAACAATACAAAATTCTGTGAAGATTTCAACATGCTGACACATGTCGCAAAAAAATTCTAGTAATCTAAAAGAGTTAAAATACAATTTTTTACTTTCTGTATATAATTCAAGGGAAAACAAGTATAAAAAATTTCTTCTATGTGCTGTGTCCCTTCAGGACATTGGCAATCATGGCTCTCCAGGATTTCCTATCTTTTGTCTCTCTTAATAAATTTTGTCTTTTTGGTATCTCTTCTAATCCTTGTTATGCCATCCATTTATTCATTCATAGATAGGTTATGCACTGCTTCCTTTATCTCTCTTTTCCTTCAACCATTCCTGTGAGTATCAAATTTTCAAAGCCTTCTTTCATCATTATGTGCCTTATAAATCCCTTGTTAAGTTGTTGAGTGACTCCAGTGTGTATTTTTTCCCCAGCACAGGTATGGAACTGATAGTCTTCAGTTAATATAAACTTGGGCTTTAATAAGTTCATCTGTTACACCTGTAGTTCAAATGGGTTCTGCCCATTGAGTTCTATACAAACATATGGGTTTTCTACTGGAGGGTGATTAATATATTTACTGGGTGAAATTATATCAGATTAAATCAACATTCTTGACATTAAGTATAAGTGTCCATTTTGTTTCTGTTTTCTCTAAAACTTCATTATTGCTCACATGTTCAGTCCATGGTATTCTCAGTGTTCTTCTGTAAGAACACATTTCTGTTGCTTCAAGTCTATTCTTCCTCTGTCAGGAGATTTTCTAGCATTCACTGCCATATAGAAGGACTGATATCACATAACAGTTCAGTACTCTACCATTTAGGAAATTATTTTCTTGTTCTTACCAGTGTGATATATAGATGTATGTAAACTTTTCCTGTTGTTTAAGAGTTAGAGAAAATGTTAAACAAAGATGAATGAAACTGAAAAAAAAAACTTTTCCTCTTGGGCTGGAAAATGAAATTTAAAAAAATTTTTTGTGAATTTCAGAATTAAATAAAGCATATATTCACAATCTTCTGAAGGTTTTGATTTGAATTTGGAAGATTTTAAAATTGTCATTACAAATATTACATTTTAGTGGAATGAGTAACTAACATGATATGTATCACTTTGCTCAAAGGCTACACATGGAGACCTACCAAACCCCATCTGCCTCTTAAATAAAAAAAATTTAAATTCAATCTTCACTCCAAACATTGTTTCTATATTTTCTTTATTCTGGATAATTCTCAAGCATGCTATATTTTTAGCTAAAATACTGGCAGATGCATAAATTTTCTAAATTATAAAATTTTTAAATGACAAGTGGAGATGCAGAAATGGAGGGGGCAGATATTGATGGTTAATAGAAAAAAAATAAAATTGGATATGTTAATAAATTGGAATAAATCTGGAAATTAAGATGTTTATTTGGAAATTCAACACAGTAAAAACAGAAAGTTTCAAATTTTGATAAATTTTTAAGCATTCATATGCATATTATAAGAAATGTGGATTCTTCTTAAAAAAAAAAAAAAAAAAGAGTAGAATAAAAATTCTACATTTTTAAAAATTTTTGCCTGAAATTTTGAGTTATGGCTTTTCGGATCATTCATTCATTTTCTACAGCTTATCAACCCTTTGTAGGTTATTTAAAGCCAGAAAATATTTTTAGATTGTAAGAATTTTTAATGAGATAATAATGATTTAGAGATAAAAGTTCTACTAATTAACCCATAGGTGGCAGGAGAAGAAGTGGATTTATACCATTCACAAAGGTATTTGCATGTAAGTAAATATAACAAACCCAACTGGAATTGGAACTCAGCTTTCCGATTAACAATTCCAAGCCATTATCCATTACCCCACCATCAAATCGATGTTTACAGCACCTGGTATTCTCAAGTGGTTACCCATCTAGGTACTGGCTAGGCTCGATGTTGCTTAACTTTGGTAATTGTACAGGAACTGGTGTTTCAACAAGATTTGGCCATAAACCTTTGGATTAAAATATTTAATGATACACTAGGGGAATTTCCAAGTGTATTTCATAAAGGTTCAGTAATCATTACAAACATTAAGTGATATTTAAATAAAGAATTCTATCTTATAATGGATTTTCCATCTTGTCTATAGTTCTAATTAATTCTAATTATTATGGAATAATGATGGTTGATAGTTGTTTGCATAATTTTTCATTAATTCCTTAAAACTAATTTGCTCATTAACAATATATTATCAGTGTGTTTTATATTAATCTGTTCTTTATGCAATACTTTAAGTAAAGAAGAAATCAGCTGATCATATTCTTTTATAATGGCTCTATCTTTTCTGCTGACGTTTTTTATCTTTTCACCTCAAGAAAGGCCACAATGCCAGTAAGACGTATGGGGTTACTGGAAGTGAAAGAGAATGAGAAGATTTTACTAAGGAGAAAGGTCAAATAAGAGAGCAGGATTCAGGAAGACAGAAGATAATAATAGGTGTTGCATATAAATCTTTGAAGATTGCAGTTGGCAAGGAAGCAAGTTTGTCCTGGGTAAGACGTTAAACTACATCCAGAAGCAAGGCCTCTGATCAGGAGGTTTTGAAGAGTGTAGAACCATCTCTTAATTACTGGTGTTCCCAGGTCCACCCTGACCAGGGGTGGTAGCACCTGTTAGGGTCCCAGCTATGGGCAAATAGTTAACTATCACCAGCAATACTTTTTGGAATAATACAATATTGAAGGAAATATATTACCAGAAACAGATTTTTGACAAAACAAAACATTACCAGCAATAAAAAATTTTGTCAGCATTAAATAACCCATTGAGGTTGATATGCCGTAAAAGAAACCAATCTAAACCAAAGAATACATACTCTATTCATATGAATCTATCCTAAAAAATGTTGTCGGCATTAAATAACCCATTGAGGTTGATATGCCGTAAAAAGAAACCAATCTAAACCAAAGAATACATACTCTATTCATATGAATCTATCCTAAAAATGTTGTCGGCATTAAATAACCCATTGAGGTTGATATGCCGTAAAAGAAACCAATCTAAACCAAAGAATACATACTCTATTCATATGAATCTATCCTAAAAATGTTGTCGGCATTAAATAACCCATTGAGGTTGATATGCTGTAAAACAAAATAAACCAAACCAAACTAAGGAAGCAAGCAAACAGATTCTGTGCTATTATCCATTATACAACCCATATATCTCGGCTTTTCATCACTTACCAAGGTACTGACCAGGCTCAGTGTTGCTTATTTGTGGTGGTTTTAGGGGAACTCTTGTTTAAACATGATATGGCCATGAGCCTGGATTAAATTTTATTACTGGTGTACCAGTAATAATAGATAAACATAATTATAATCAGTATTATAAAAAAAAAATGATAATCCATGTAGAGTATTATCCTTTCTTCAGTTCCCACTATATACAGTCTTTTCCCTCACTTTCATTCTCTGTAACCCCCTGCATGCTAGTGAGACTCCCATTTTGCTTGAGATGGAAAAAAAAAGTGCAATGTGTTAATGCCCTTGGCATAGTAGGCACACCTGAGATGGATTAAGGACCTTGCCAAAGTTAGATACCAGTCTAATCCTGAGAACAGGTTAAAGCAACATATGCTGCAACCACCATCAAGACTCACACCATAGGGGGCAAAGATATTCATAGATGGTAGTCGATGACCTCACCTCACCTTAGCTCTAAGGTAGTAACTTTTGCAGTGCAAACATCATTGACTATAAATGCCATGTTTATGTCATGTTATATTGTTGTTTTATATTGTTCCGCATAATAAGAATGGTAACCGTATTTTGGTACCCTACTCTTCATCTTCCTTTAGTACCTCATATTTATTCTTGTCTGGGAACTCCTTGAGAGCCATTATAAAATAACTGCATAATATCCATATCAGTATTATAATGAAAAAATAATGAATTTTAAAACTTCATATAAACATGGCAAATGGAGAGGCATATTGATGACAAGTAAGAAGTATTCTGAAAATTACTTTGTGAAAATTCTAGATGTCATAGGTATAGGAATAAAAACAGCATAATATGGTATTTTTAAATAAAGGTTTATTTTTTAGTCATCCCGAGAATTCTATTCAATATAATGAATACCTGAAAAATAAACTCAAAGACCCAATAGCAATACCATTTTTATAAAGATAACGAATATCAAAAACCTGTCCTGAATATATTATTATTTATTTTTCATTATCAACGCTTAATATTGTTGTTTGATAAAAATCTAATTGAAACAACACCATTTATATCCATACCAATGTTATATCAGTGTAAAATTGGTTGTATGTATCTATAAACATTCTTAACTTCATACCTATAATATACCTGGTTCTTCCGACACTCAGCTGAAATCAAAATGACTCACTTGTCAAGAGTTACTATTTATCAATTCATTACTAAAAATACTGATCTCAGTTTCTGTAATGTGTGCAATGCTTTCAGCATTCTAAAATAAATATTTCTCCAATAAAATATAAAAGAACATTGACGCTGTCTGCTGGAAACATTGGGGAAATGACAGGATCATTAGGTTTGGGTTGCAAGTGACATAAAATAAAATCTTCTAGTTGAAGGTATTTGACAGGAATCTTTTAGAGGATAAATATACATTTCTTTATCTTAGTAGAAACACTATAAATGAATAAACAAGAGGAAACTTATTTCTCTTTTCAGAATCACAAGAAGGGCTTCTTCTCTTCAGTAAGAAAAGAGAATAATGTTATTTCTGTGGAACTGTGTTCAAGGTACATATCGTTTTTTGAAAATAAAACTAATTTAATGCATAGGGCACAGTGTTGATAGCAGACACAGGAAAGAAATTACAGGGACATTTACAAAAGGTACTAAAGGAAAGCAAGAAAAAGATCTAGACATCAATTGCAAGAAGACAGAATGTATGGCTGTTAGCAAAATGAACAACTTAACAGATAAATTACAAATTGTAGACATCAAAATCAAGCAAATACAAAAATTTAGGAAGTGATTAACAGAGTATGGAAAGATGTGTCTTCTCAGCAGAATTATTCAACCTTTCCAGAGAGGTGATTCTTAGAAGTCTTAGCAGGATTCATTATTAACAGCCACAATCTTAAAAAGATAAGAAAGCACTAAACATTAATTGTAAGAAGATAGAATTGCCTAGGATGAGGGCATAGTATTAACAAAAATTATATAAAAGATATTGAGAATATATACAATAAGTATACTACAAAAATTCAACTACAGAAAAGCAGATAAAAATGATTTGAAAAGGAATGAGAGAAGAGGATATGGTTTTGTGTAAATTATTTATAGCATGACTTGAAAGTATCTTCTAGAAAAAATGAACTGGGAAGTCATGGGAGTAAATATGAACAGATAATATTCAAATTATCTATATGTTGCTTGCAATAATATAAATGTCATTGTATAAATGAAGTTCAATGAAGCTTTTAAAATTTATAAAAATATAACATAATTAATGCTTAGTTATCAATAAGACAGAGTGTATAGTTATTAGCAAAAGGGTCAGTGCAAGATGTGAACTATGCATTGGAAATATCAAAACAAGCAGCTACAAGAGTTTAGATATCTAGGAATTGTTTAACAGAGGACAGAAAATCTGACGGTGAATTGGGATAGTGAAAAATGATTTCCAACTGCTAAGCAAAGTATTAAGAAACTGGAAAATATCATTAGAAATAAAGAAAAGAGTATTGAACTGTTATGCAATATCAGTCCTCTTATATGGCAGTGAATGCTGAAAAATCTCCCCACAGATGAAGAAGATACTTGAAGCAACAGAAATGCAGTTCTTCAGAAGGATGCTGAAAATATGCACTGAATATGTGAGCAATGACAAACTTTTAGAGAAACTAAACTGATTTTGACTGATTTGTTTTTTATGGATTATCAACCTTTTGTAGGTTGTTAAAGCCAGAAAATATTCTTAGATTGTAAGAATGTTTGGGAGATAATAATGATTTACTGATACAAGTCCTACTAATTAACCTATAGCTGGAGAGAAAAGAGGTGGATTGATACATTTTCCAAGGGTATTTGCATGTAAGTGAATATAACAATCCCTAATGGAGCTGGAACTCAGCTCTCCAATTCCCAATTCCAATCCATTATCCATTACACAACCCACATATCCAATCTTACAGTACCTGGTATCCCCAAGCAGTCACCCATCTAGCTACTGATGAGGTTCAATGTTGCCTAAATTCATCCAAGAACTGGTGTTTCAACTAGAGAAGCTTGAAACCAAAAGAACACTTTTATTTCAAATCAGAAAAAGAAAATTGAAATTTCTACAGCACATAATGAATAAAGAGTGACTTAGAAAATTTGATACCCACAGGACATATTGAAGGAAAGAGGGACAAAGAGAAGCAGAAAATCTCTCTCTCTCTCTCTATATATATATATATATATATATATATGTAAGCAAATATATGGATATAGATCTGACAGTATGAAGCAAAATATATACAGAAAAAACAAACAAAAATCCTTATATACAATTATGCTGTTTTAATGTTAATATGTCAACATCGGACGTTTCGGTCTAATAAATCATCTTCAGGACATATTCATAAATTATAACATTATCAATACAACATGACAAAGACGATGTACATAAGAACAAGACTTATCCAAACAGATAACTGAAAGTTTTATAAGATCAGCACTCCATTTAAAACATGGTCACGTTGTCATCACATGGGTGACGCTGTGAAAACGTATTCCTAAAATTTGAGTATTTTGAATGAAAAATGAAAAGAATTCTATTTTGATCTAAAATTTATATGTACGCTGATTAATGCTCGACAAGTGTACATATAAATCCGACGTTGACATATCAACATTAAAACAGCATAATTGTATATAAGGATTTTTGTTTGTTTTTCCGTATATATTTTTCTTCATATATATATATATATATATATATATATATATATAATAAAATATAGTTTTA